TATCCACCAGCCACTTCCCAGAAGGAAGGCTGGGCAATCTACTTCCATAGAGATATCCCCTCAGAAACCCAAGGAGGGGTCGGTATGAGTCGGGTCCGACCCGACGGCACATAACAACAACAACATATGTATGTATGTATTACTACATCAACATATATATATTGAATTACATTCACCATATTTTTCAACTATCATTCTCCATTCCCCAAAGTTTTTCATCATCCAAACAGAAACTCAGTACTAATTAAGTAATAATCTCCCCAGCTCCTAATAACTGCTAATAAACTTTGGTCTCTGTCCATTTGCCTATTCTAGGTATTTCATATAAATGGGATCAATAGAGTATTTGTCCTTTGTGTATGACTTATTTTACTCAGCAAGGTTCATCCACGTGTATCAGAACTTCATTTCTCTTTATGGCTGCATAATATTCCATTGTTTGAATAGTTCACATTTTGTTTTTATTCATTCATCTGTTAATGGCCATTTGGGATGTCCTTTTGGCTATTGTGAATAACGCTACCGTGAAATTGGTGCAGTATATCTGTTTGCGTTCCTGTTTTCAGTTTTTTTGCGTATAAACTCAGGCGTGCAAATGCTGGGGCATATCGATAATTCCAGCGTTTTGAGTAACTGCCACACTGTTTTCCACAGTGACTGCACCATTTTACATTCCCATCAGCAAACCGCCTGGGTCAGCCCAACGTTCAGAAGCGATGGGATGGGAGCGGGGACAGCAAGGTGCCTCAGTGGAAGTCTTGTCCTTGCCCCGTATTCCAGTCGTTAAGGAGTGAAGTCTAGAACTGAGACCGGCTCAGGGCTGAGACCTCCGCCCTGGCAAGGTGCTGTCGCCCGCGGGAGGAGCAGGGTAGTGTGTTCCGATCCAGCCGCCCGCAGGGTCGAAGAGAGGGCCGGGCCCTTCTGCCCTAAGGCCCCTTCGGAAAACATTAAGGATCTCGCCATGCTCGGCTCTCGATTGCTTGCGCCTGGAGGCGGCTGGCGACAAACTCGATGGCCGGGCTCTGCATTCGAGGGATCGAGCCTGGCCCAAAGGAGCGGTGACGCGCGTTTGGCGGCTGCCCGGGAGCCTCGGGCTCAGGGACGAAGAGTCCTTGGCGGCTGGCGTGGGGATGTCCAGGAGCTCGAAGGTGGTGCTCGGCCTCTCGGTACTGCTAACGGCGGCCACTGTGGCCGGAGTGCATCTGAAGCAGCGACAAGACCAGCAGGTCGGTGTCACGTGCTGTCTCTTCTGGGGCCAGTGCGCCGCAGCGACCTCAGGGCCTCATGTCGCCTCTCCGCGTGATTCCCCTGCTCCTCCTTGTGTCTGTCTTCGCCCTGGCCCTTCTTCCTGCGGTGGCGCGGCCCAGTACTCCTTTCCTCCGCCCTCCTCGCTGCAGGTTCCGCGGTGGCCCGTGTGCATTTTGGAAGCCAAGGGTGACCCCGATACCGGGCTCCACCTGGGATCTCTAGCCCTCTGTGCAAACGTTGGTTGGCATTGCGAACGCGCGCTCCTGGATGGGCAGCAGTTCTGTTTTCAAATCACAGTCCACCTACAGGGAAACCGACCTATCATCATCTCATTTGGGTGGCTACAAAGTTGCCGTCGAGTGGGCCCCGACTCATAGCGACCCCTCCTTGGGTTGCCGAGACAGTATCACTACGGAAGTAGATTGCCCAACCTTCCTTCCCAGGAGTGGCTGGTGGGTTTGAACTGCCTGCCTTCTGATTAGCAGTCAAGTGCCTTAGGCACTATGCTACAAGAGCTCCCGGCTACAAAGTAGAGGGTGGGAAAAGGGTTTCTTTGGAGTATGTTCTGCCAGTTACTGGCCACTCCACCCCGCCGAAGATTGGGCCTAAAGCAGATGTGTTAAGTGGCAATGATTATATCCCGTGTTAAAAAGGAGGCTCCCCTGCACCCACCTTTAACAAAGGAATTTGTTGCTTTAGTTGTCTTTTTTTTTTTTTTTTAAAAAAAAAAAAAAAAAAAAAAGGCCAGGTTGCTAGGGAAACTAAATTCTGGGAGCAATAGAGATACCAGTCTCCAGATTTTCTTTTTGGCACGTTTGTTTCTGAAAATATCTGTGACTTTTCTCTCACTTGATATTTTCTTTGTTATTCAGTTTGGCAAACGTTTAATGATCACTGTTTGCCATATGCATAACTAGGCTTTTTGGGAAGAGGACAATAAGAAAATACAGCTACTCTAGAGTCTCTGGTGGTATAGTGCCTATGGCACTTGACTGCTAACCAGAAGGTTGGTGGTTCAAATCCACCAGCCACTCCTTGGAAGGTAGGTTGGGCAATCTACTTCCGTAGAAACCCGAGGAGTGGTCGTTATGAGTTGGAGACGACTCGATGACACATAACAACAACAACAACAGAATCTATATAATTCACAACAGCGCTAAATGTTGAATATGAGGACCAGTGAGTAGGTCGTTGGCAAACTTTCAGATAATACCTTGGTAGTTATTGGGGTTGAACATAGTTTACCAAGGATGGAAGGAATGAAAGGGATGAATCAAGAGTAAACCATCTTCTCTAGAATTGGCTGCTCCATACATTGGACTGTGCTGTATGCTAGGTTTACAGAGATGAGATGAGATCTTTGTTCTCCATGATTACAATCTGTAGAAATCGAGAAGAAGGGAGTGATGGTGTAAGAATATTGAGGAGGGGAGATGGGATTAATGATGAAAGGGCAAGGAAGAGACTTGGAGAATCGGGGAGCATCAGGGGGAGCTTTTGGGCTAGAATCAGAGGACTCCCTTCTCTAAGAAGAAAAAGGAAAAGATGGTGATCCTAAAAATATGTGATATTGAGTAAAGGATGGTGTACGTATGTTGGATGTAATTTTGAGGTCAATGAAGTCAGTGATTTTTCAGAGTATGGGGTAAGGATGGGTTAGAACTTGATTCTGCATACACATCAGATGTTCCTGGGCAGTTTTTACAGTATAACCGAGGTTTGGGCCCCACCCCAGACCTAACAAATGATAAACTCTTGCAGTTGGGAATCTGTTATAGGTATGTTTTAAAAGTGACCCAAGGGATTCTAACATGCAGTCAAGGTTGAGAACCACTGTGCTAGAGAGTGGAAGAATGGAAATATTTAGAATCCCTCCTGTGAGATATGTGGTAATTAGAGATGAATATTAACAGAATAACCTGTGTTTATTTTACATCCAGTCATTCGTTATAAACTCAATGTTCTAGTCTAGAACAAATGATTGACAGGATGGATGTGTCTGAAGGTTCAAGTAAGCAAGAAATAGAATAATGACTTGTTTTCTATATTTCCTTTTTCTTTTTTGTTTCTTGACTGTCTACCATATACCAGGCACTGTACTAAGCACTTTAATCATCATCTTTAATCCTTACAGGGTCCCTGGGTGGCAGAAATGTTTTTAAATGCTAAGCTACCAACTAAAAGATTGTCTGTTTGAATCCACCCAGAGGTAAGAGAGGCCTGGAGATCTGCTTATGAAAGGGCATTGAAAACTCTGTGGAGCACAATTGTACTTTGACACACACACATGGTGTTGCCATGAGTCGGAGTTGATTTGAAGGAAATGTGGTTTTTTTTTTTAAGGGAGGAGGTGGTGTTCAAGGGGAAGGATGTGTGAGGCAATCAGCTGTATCCCTAGAAGAGGTCCAGAAAGTAGGTACTTCTTGAGTTTTTTAAAACAGATGTAACAAAGCATACATGACTTGGACCCCACTCCTACCAAGGAGTTTTACCTCACAAGGCCACTATTTAAAAGTTGTTGGAGTATTTGTGATCTATATACTGTGTGTTGTGTTAGTTGTTAGTAATGATTTTAAAAGGCTCATCTTGGTGCCAGGTCCATATTCTGGAATTTTCTACCTGTCTTTTCAGTACTTAGCAAGGTAACTGTGCTGATACAAACAAACTCACTGCCATCAAGTCAGACCCGACTCATAGCGACCCCTCCTTGGGTTCCCGAGGCAGTATCACTACAGAGGTAGATTGCCCAACCTTCCTTCCAAGGAGTGACTGGTGGATTTGAACTGCCAGCCTTCTGGTTAGCAGTCAAATGCCTTAGGCACCTCTGATAGTAGCAGTCTCCCCCCTTCCCCCACCCCCATTGTGTAATTAGTTAGTAATTTTTACTTTTTTTCTTTACACGGTAGATGAAGCCACGTTCTTTACTTTCTTGCATCCTTAATTCAGATTATAGTAACCATTTTTTTTCTCTTGATCTTTATTATCTGGCTAGAATAATTGCTAACAGGAAAGTAGTTCTCAGAGTTCTTACTGTAATTTCCAAGTTTATAAAGCATCAAGTATCAGTTAAACTCCTTTTAAAATTTAACATAGTACCAGTTTTTTCTTATTTGTTGTTACCCATTTTCTGTACTATGTGTTCAGATATTTCTTAAAATATGGTAAGAAGTAGTTTCACTAATAACGTTATAGCAGATTACCACATTAATTTGCTAATTTTTAAAATTAAACTTTGCATTTATATAGAAACTTAGATTGGGTTCTTATTATTTGGAATCTGAAAGTTTTAAGTGTATTTTGGTAACACTGTTACTTGGATTGAAATGGCACAGAGATGGAAACCACCTGTTCAGAATATTACTGAAATCTTTTTGACGTTTTCAGAGACTTCGTGATGGAGTGATCAGAGATATTGAAAGGCAAAAACGGAAAAAAGAAAACATCCGTCTTTTGGGAGAACAGATTGTTTTGACTGAGCAACTTGAAGCGGAAAGCGAGAAGATGTTATTGACAAAAGGATCTCAAAAAACATGACTTGAAATGAATATGAAATATTAATGGGACAGAGGATGTTGAGTGTGTGTTTTGTTCAGAAGGTGAATAGCTAAGTGGCATCTTTAACTATTTTTTGGTTGCTACCCTTTTAAACTTGATCAAATAAAGACCAGTGGATCATACATTCTAAATTACTGCTTTAAAAGTCCCTTATGTCTGTGGGACTACTAAAGAGTTTCTGCTTGTGTGATTCTGGTACAAGCCCCTCAGTGTCCAGAGCTTGGGACTGTTACTGAAAAGCACTTCTGAACCAGTGAGAAGGGATGGATAGTAATATCCACCTGGGTAGTTTGATAAGTCGACATGATGATGAAGCCACAAGAACATCTACCTCGGAAGGGCTGGAGGAGGGTGAAGTGGAAGGGGAGACACTCCTGATTGTAGAGTCGGAGGACCAGGCATCCGTGGACTTATCTCATGATCAGAGTGGGGATTCCCTCAACAGTGATGAAGGAGACGTGTCCTGGATGGAGGAGCAGCTGTCCTACTTCTGTGACAAGTGCCAAAAGTGGATTCCAGCCAGTAAGGAACTTCTCGATTCCTTTGATTTGTCGATTGCTATGTGAAGTTTTATTTATTATTTAGTTGACCAACCATAAATTTATATAAAACATAGACATATTTGTGTTGTTGTTTGCCGTCGAGTCAGCCCTGACTCATAGCAACCCCTCCTTGGGTTTCCGAGGCAGTATCACTATGGAAGTAGGATTGCCCAACCTTCCTTCCAAGGAGTGGCTGGTGGGTTTGA